TAGTAACAATGTTTGCTATTAGAATTAGAATTAAATTAATGGAGCACTAGTAAGGATGCGGCCCTTTGATGCCCTTTGGCAAAAGCGCAGGTTGGACTGCTGCCAGAACCATTATTGGGTGAGCCCGGCCGTTTGTGTGCGCCGGCCAGTCCGAGTAGGAGAACTGGTGAAGGCCTCCATGCATCCAAAAAAACTAGCTTCTTGTTACTACTAGTAAGGCACTTGTTACTACTAGCGATGCACTTGTTACTACTAGCACCTTGCTTTGCAGACTGTTGAAGTGTCACTAGTTCTGGATTGTCACACGAAAACACAATTTGCAGTACTTTTACGTGCAAGCTGCAAACATCTGCAAACAGAACACAGAGCAACACAAAGGATTTGGTTTACCCAAGGTTTACATGCTTGTCAATGCCTCAGTTCGCAGAACCAGTGCCAGGTTCTGGTGGGAAAGCCTTTCAAGTTCGCCAAGATGGAGAACGTGTTCGCTTAGAACTGACGGAAGCCCATGGTCGGCACCTGAGGATTGAAAGGACATTCATGGATGTCCAGGCATGGCTTTGCAGCATGGCTCACAAACCATCATTATAAACCTCTCACAGTTTAACACACCACACTATTTGACAAAATAAGGTCTAATTGCTGGAGATGTCCTTCGCTTTTCAAACCTCACCATTGCCAACTTGTCCAATGTAACGAATTCCACACTTGGCGAAGACATCAAATGTCTCCTGGCCTCAAGAAACAAGAGATCATCATACGTTTGTCATGTGTCACTGAAACGGCCAGTCTTTCCCTAACTGTGTTTGGCACTCTGGAAGGTATTTTGGAATCGCCGATTGCAGTGATTGCTGCACCATCTCAGATGGACTTGGTGCTGGACGTGAGCCTAACTGACGATGAGCTCTCCAGCCGAAAATCAAGATCCCTGACCAACGGTCCCCTATTGTACCTCCTTTGGCTTTTTGGACAGTTGGTGCTTCTGTATACTGACGATCTTGTACCCCCCCCTTGTTTCTTTTCCAGGCGTTCTTGCGCCATGGACCCTTATTAAGTTTTGTATAAATTTATACAACTAGTGTTTCTTAGTGCTTTGATTTCGCTTTGGTTTTGCATGTCCTCGCAAGGTTGGGAACTGTTGACTTCAGCAGTGCTGGTTGGGTGACAGAGTCCACATTAACTTTCGAAGTCCATGCCATTGCCGCAGCCACACATAGTGTTGCATGGCTGCACTGCATGTTTAGTGCAAGGAATATATATATATATCCAAGGCCTTGAGCCATTGCCTGTTCGCTTTTCCAGGTTTGCTGGGCAGAAGCAAAGTTACGAATTGCTTTGCTCGAGATCAAAGAGCCTCCGCTATTCAGGTCATGTGATCGGTTGATTTTTGCAACTTGTACTTTCCTCATTTCGCCAGTTTGCTCGTTTGATCTTGTTTGCAAGGTCTGAGCTTCATTTGACCACGAGCTTGCCGAAGACACTTGCTCCTAGCTCTTTGGCACGTCATGAGGTAGCGAACGAATGACACCGTGGCAAAGCTATTTTGTGATGCTCGTTTCGAAAGGCAGAGCAGAGGCGATTTCTTCACTCAACCTAAGGGGATCAAGTGTGTAGAGAATATATTGACATGTGGGCGTCCCCTCAGTCAACACAATTCATGTTTCACTGCTTTAAAGCCAGCTGGACTGATACTTTCTGCTCAGCTTGACAATTGTTCAAAATCTGAGGCTGTTATTTTGACATGTTTTGACTCTGAGGCGTGTTGGCATTTCAAAGTAATGCTGCTGCACATGGAGTGACACGCATTGCTTTAGCCTTCAGAGATCAGCAGCTTCTAGGTGGGAATGCTTTTGGTTTTCCCATGTTCTCTTTTGGTTTGCGCAAAGGAAAGGGTCACCACGGAAAATATTTGACTAGTCAAATAAAGCTGACGCTCGTTTGGTTTGCCTGATTTGGCCCACACTGAGAAGCATTTTTGTTCAGGGCATGCCTTCATTCCTCAAGGTCATGACCTTGGCATAGAAGAGTGAAACACCTTGGGGATGCTTGGGGCGCTGTGGCAGTTGTGAACCGGCATTCTTGTGTTTTCACAAATAAGGTGAGCCTTCCGTGGTCTCTTGGCAAAATGCTCGCCAAGACATATGTGGCCAGCTGTTTCGTGAGCTTTGGTCGGAGGATGAGGCAGAAACAAGCATTCGCCATTTCACGGTCAAACAAGATCGTGCTGAAATACACTCGAGTGTGGAGTGATCAATTCCAAGAAAAGACAAACTGATGCGTGACTAAGAGCATCCTCCCTCATCAAAAGTTCTCGAATGCAGCTCAACCAATTGGAACCTGTGTAGGATGGCTTCCCGCAACCGTCTGGGTGCTATTACAGTCCCTTCTCAGAGTGTCTTGGATCGCATTGCTCATAAGGGGTATAAGATCCAGATGAAGACGCCACAAGGCAGACTTGTTTGGAGAGATGAGCTAGAGCCGGACTGAGTGGACTCTTTTTTGTGCAACCAAGGTATGGTGCCATGGCTTATGGCTGTGTTTTGCTGTTGCTTCGGCTTTTGTTCTCTTTTCTCGGCAGCAATTAGATGGTCCACCAGGTCTCTCCTGCTGTTGGATTGACATACAGTTACACTGAAAACACGTGTTTCAGGCACCCAGCAGGGCTTGCGAGCAAGAAACTTGTTGATAGTCTGAAAAGCAAAGCACCTTGTGTCCAAGGCATGGTGTTTCCTGTTGGTCGTGGCCCAAAAGCAGGAGTGAAATATCAGGCACATATGGTGCGAGCAGATGGGCGCTCTTTTCTATTCATCCTTTCCAGTGGGTTGGACATCTGTGTCAGGTTCTGTCCGTTTAGATATGGCTCAGTTTGGACAGAGATATCCAAAAGAAAGTTGAGCCTGGCAGGTGGTGATGCTGACGCAGCTACGTTACAGTGTGTATACTGAACACGCCCCTCGGCGGTAAATCCAATCTGAATATGCAAGTCTATGGCTTAGGGATTGAGTTTAGGATTGAGATTGCTTCGCTTCTTCTCCTGTCCGTCCAGGAGTGGCGCATATTTGACTCCATGGTTCCACTGCCACCGATTCAGCCAGTTGAAGCAGTCAGTGTTTTGTCTGAACAGTGTCTCGGGCTCTCAGGCTTGGCTCGCTAAGTGACGCATCAAATAGTCGAAGATTGAGTTTGTATATTGGAATATACCGCATGCAGAGTAGTAGTGAGGGGCAAAGTATTTAGCCTAAAGAATCCTCGCTGATTTGATGCAATGTAGTTCAATGAGAGGCGGAAACTGCTGCATGATGCGCATTATGCAGCCAAAGTTTCTTCAATCGAGTCCAGGGCATCAAAGAAGCCGTCGAGAACCACAGAAATAACAAGTACTTGTACCTGAAGTTTGACATAGTCCAAAGGTAGTCTGAAGTCTGAAGCATATCACTTGGCGGCAAAGGGCGCAGTGTTCAGAGATGGAAGGGTCCTTGCCTTGTGAGGTGGTGACGACATGGGTGACATTGGTGAACAGCCCAGCATGGAAGCCTGTTGGGAAGAGTGTGTCAGGCTGACTCGTTGCCACTTGGCCGTTGGCTTTTGTTTGAATTGCTGAGTAATGGACCCAAAACCAAAGTGGATCCGATTAATTTCTTTGGGCAATAACAAGCAAGCTGGCACACGAAGGTCTGGGACATCTCGAAGCTTTCCATTCCGTTCTGTCTTTCAGATTGAAGAACTGAACAAGAACTGCTTTCTGTTGCCTTTCTTTTCAGGCACTGTAGCAGTGTATCGGCGCTCAGACCGGCACTGCGTTGTGGCAGATCTTCGTCGGCGTGAACTGCTGCAAACCACTGCGGATGGATCTGGATCCAACGTGACCATGTTCCTCATGGAAACTCGGAGAACGTCATGGCGCCAACAGAAAAACCTGTTAGGCTTCTGACAATGTTTAGAGCTGGAACAGAGCCCAACTAGTCGGGTCTAGTTACTTAGTTCCAGATGTTCCAGTTACTTAGTGGGTCTTGTTTTGCACCGTGTAGAACAACGTGCCCAGTGATCCAGTACACCTGTCTCCGCTCACGAGTTCGCGGGGCAACCTACTAAGTTACCTAATCGTAGCTTCCTCCTTGGTTGAGACCGAGGACCGTTTAAATGGAACTAGCCTACCAGAACGAGCCATCGCAGACCTGTGGAGCCTAGAAGACTCTTCAAGGTGTGGCTGTGAGACTCAGTGGTGAGGTGAAAATAAGGTAAAAGAAAGAGAATTCTTGCATCTTACGTTACGAGTAGAAGGTGTCACCGACAGAAACCTAGCATCTTTGAGAAGCTTTTGAGTGTCCCTGGCAATCTAGGAACTGTATGGAACTGTAAGGAGAAGCTTCGTTCAAAACCACTGCTCTACTGCATGCTTGTTGCTGGCTACTAGATGTTACAAGAGCTTGCTGCCGCTACCACTTGACCTAGTTACTAGCCTACCTTTCACGAAAAGCAAGCATGTGCAAAAATTTGTTCAGTCATTTCTTTGAATTAGGTTGGAGGCCGTCGCCCTTAGGTTGGAGGCCATTCCTATTAGGTTGGAGGCCACCGCTATTAGGATGGAGGTCATCGCTATTTGTTTTGCTAGTTCGCGTGGGCCACAGCAGAGAAAGTTTGAGGCCTTGGCCGACGGTAAAGGTTGCGGAAGCCTCCATGGTCAAGTTGCGAGCTACGCCACGGCACCCAGCCTTGGCACAAGACCCACGTTGGGCCCCGTTTGACGGACTGAAGCCTGGAGTGCAAGCCTCACGAATGCTGTCCTGAGGGTGGTTTGAAGTTGTATCATGTTAAATCCTGAGTCTCTCGATCAATTTTAATCAAAGAGTCTTCACACGCCACCACTGAAACATTCTTTTCGCCGTCAGATATGTGGGGACTGGTCACCAGCAGAGCAAAGTTCTCTACGACTGAATCCTTCGCTGCTCTTTACAGAGCTAAGGAAGATTGTGGATCTGGATGGGCAAAGTGCACCATGGCCGAAAGCAGCCAGATGGTTTTGTGTTTTGCTTTTGTAACGAAGAGAACATCATGGCTGAGAGCTGTTGATGCTTTGACAGCATGATTGCCGATTGGTGTTTTTTTGTGCGGTGTAGCGGCACGCTCTTTTTTTCTCTCTCTCTCTCTCTCTCTATTGAGCCCAGGCTGAAGGACCTATGTTGCTCACTCAACTAGCTCTTCGCCTTCGTACAGCTCAGGGAAGTATCTTACAGGAGCGCTCCAGTGCACAGTGAGAGAGATGTCTAAGCACAGATTCAAAAGACTCTCTCTCTCTCTCTCTGTGGTTGCCTCTTTTTCGAGACTTGACACGCAATTTCAGGCCGGGGATTTGCTGCGGCTCTACATGTGGCCTTTGACTTCTTGGGATCTCAAAGTTTGTGAGGCTCAGTGTGTGCTAAGCTTGGAACGGATGCGCATAGACTTAGACATTGTGCTTATCAAGTGTGAAGAAGAGGAACGGGGACAGGGCCGCTCGCTACCACGGTGCGAAACACATTTGGCTCGAGCAGGTCGTGCAGAACTGAGCATATAAAGCAAAAGGGGGCCAAAGCATATCATGGACGTAAGATGAAATAAGTGCTTCTTTGCCAGTATGTGAGTTCGTGGTGCAACGCTTGAAAACTGCCAACCGACTCAATACGGAAAACATTGAAAAGACGCTACAATTCGATTCAAGCTCCATCCGAAATTGAACGATGGCATGGCGAAGGCCGAGCCTTCAAGCGGCTTGCTACGGCTTTTCTGATTTTCACTGGCCGGAGGTCTGTGTGGTTTGCATGGTCCTTTGCGTGGTGCCAATTTGTGAAGCATTCAATGAGCGGTGTCCCCAGCCGGATGTGGTTGATCGCTTTTCAAGGCTTTCAAGGCAGAACTCGCAATGCGACTCGCAGCTTTCTCAAGTCCTTTGCATTTCAACATGTCTTGAGAAGGCCACAATGCCACAAAAGGGAATCACGTTTCGCATGGCTTGTCACTTTGCATGTCGCATTTGCGGTTTTCAACGTGGAAGATTTGAAGGCTTCGCGGGCCTCCAGATCGAGAGGGTTGTGAGGCGTGGTAAAGTCAGAGGTTCTGAAGTTTGGACTGCACTGATGTTCAAAAGCGAGTTTTTGTTTAAGCCCGCTCGTCCCTGCTCAATAGGCCATCGGGCCATCGCTATTAATTAAGTTGGAGGCCATTGCTAGTAGGTTCCTTGTTGTTGAGCTTGCAACACCTAGTTACTAGACTTGAAAAGCATCCTGTTTGGTTTACAGTTGAGCTTGTCTTGTTGGGGCTTTTGGAGATGTCCCTTCTGGTTCACACTTTGACTGTGACTGTACCTCAGTTTTAATTGTTCCGCATGCTCCGCCAGGATGAAATCGAGGAAGTGCAAAGCATTCAGCTAAAGTTGGAATGAGAAAAATATCAGAAGATGTGAAAGAAGTCAATCAGAAGAGTGAAGCAATGTTTAAAGTATGTGTTGCTTTTGTTTTTTGGAAAACTCCGAGAATCAGATGAGTGAGAGTCAGAGTTCATCTGACAGGACTGCCCAGAATTGAAAGAAGAGCTCTTCGACCTCACAGGCTGAGACTGAAGGAAAAACCGTTTGCTTCGCTGGAGAGTTTCTGTTATGCTTATATAGCCCAGTCCGTCTTATGCGTTCTATCAGATTCTATCATGTTCTATCCACGTAAGAGTTGCAATATCAATGATGGTGGCTTTGATATTTGCGCAAGATGAAATGACAGGGCATTGCCGCTATCCAGCAGCTGAGCTTTGCCACTTGGCTTGCTGTGTTGAGTGTTGCTAGACTTCCATTTGTCATCATCACTACGTGCTTTGGGGTCCCTCAAAACTTGGTCCCACTGCCTTTGAATATGATCTAGATATATCTATATAGATGAAAAAGCATGTCCACCAAGGCATGAAGCAACCTGGATCAAGCGGATGTTTGTGCAGAGAGGGTATTCTTGAAGCAATCCATTGGCAACATGTATCATGACGAATCTATTTCTGAAGAGCGAGCCCGCTTTGACATGTTTTTCTTTGGCATGTTTTTGACATGTTTGACAAAAGAAAGAAAGAAAGGAGCTGAAAACAGGAAGCCGTAAAGCTTTACCTTCCTTGCTTCATACGTGTTTCTTTTCTAAATTGTATATTTCTTGAAATATAATACTGTATGTGTTCTTTCTCTTTTGTTGTTGTAAATATTTATATATGATATTTACACGTGATGTGGCACATATGATGACATGTTCTTCAAGGACCTGTGGCCTTTGCCGCCGTGTGCGGCTGGCACGAAGATGTGAGGTTTCATCCTGCCATCCCTTTTGCGTGCCGTGGCTGACATGGGATGACACGGGTTTTGTAGAAAGCAGGGTAAGGAAGCCTACGTTGGTGAACACAACGCTTTGCTCAGATTCAATGGGTTCCAACAGCAGACAAACCAGTTGGAAGAAACCTCGGGCATCGTTTCTGCCCAAACCGGAAGGGACAGCTCCGATGTTTGCGGTGTTTCTGCGCGGTCCGCTTGGAAAAGTATGGCAATCAAGACTCAAGACTGTTGAGACGTTTCAGTGAATTCTGTTGATCGTTGGCACCTTGTATCAGAGAGCTTCGTTGGTGACACGTACTCTGTGTTTGTGGTGGCGGTCGAAGCTTAGCTTCAGGGAGGCAGGGAGATGTGCAAGACTTAGAAGCCAATGAACGGAGCATGCAAGAAGGTGGACGATTAATTTGGCGGAAGATGGAAGAAAATTGTTGACTTGACAAACAGGCTCCAGGGAAGGGAGGTGGAGGGGTGGTTTTGCCATTGAATGGAAATTGCAAGAAGAGGAAGAATAGCTGACTGGAGAAGCCACCAGCTTGAACATAAATGGATGGCAGCCTGCTGAACTGCAATGCCAAGGGGCCAAGAGAATCATGCAACTCCTGTCAAGGGACTATGTGTCTAGGTGGGTTGGATCAAGTAAGCAAATTGTTGGATCAAAGCTTTGATTCAAAAGGTATGGATCACTGTCCCCGCAGCGCCGAACGATCCATACCAGAGTTTCTGGCCACACTCATTTCGTCTCTTCCGTGCTGCCTGGGGGTTGAAGGATGGCGTCAGCCCTAGCGAGCAGGTTTGCCCATGGGGTTTGTTTGGGTTGGATGGTCACGACGCCGAGACCAGCAGCGGTCAGAGGAATGGTCAGGGCAATGCGGTGCTTCTCCGATGGAAGGCTTTTCGATCACCATCCTTTAGCACATCTCGAACCTGGATATTTCTCATAACAGGACCTGGCGCAAAGGGTGCGTGGCTGGCTCTCACGGTTGCACAATGTTGCACATGTGCACTTCCGTTTCCCGGGTGCTTTGCAGATGTTTCCTTAGGCTTGCATGATGAGAAACTTGCACCCACAAGGCAAACCCAAAGAAATCTGTTAATCCAGCTGGGAAGCTGCAATGAGCTCCTAAGTTGGGCGACAAGAAGCTGGAAGCTCCACGTCCTTCTTGCTCTATTTTTGTGATGTGTTGTTCCTGTTTTTTCTACTATATATATATATTGCGGAGACACGAACCCTCACCTAAGGGCTACAAGTGGGCTCTTCTTTCCACGGCCTGAGCATGAAGGTCCCTGTCGTGTCACGGGTGGACATCAAGACTGCTATAACTTCTAAAATTCAACGAAGCTCCATGGATCGTCATCCTTATCCGAAGGATCATAGCCATCAAAGGTTGGAAACTTCCTGAGCAGTCTTTTCGGCAGCCATCTCACTGCCGTCACAACGTCACCAGCCTTTCAGGACTTGAACCGGCGAGGCACGGTCGAGTTTGGGAAGCGACCCTCAGCCGATTCGAATGCCTCAGCGTGAGCTGATAGATACATCACAAGGTCTTTGACCGGAGCTGACAAATTCGTGCGATCCTTTTGGCCGATCAACCATCGAGTGTAGCTGATGAGCTCGGTATCGGAGGATGTGGCCAACTCTTCATAGCTCATTCCACGCTTGGACAGCTTTCCGCACTCAATGAGGGTCTGGCCCCAATGCTGCAAGGACACCACTCCCTGGGGTAGCTCCAGCTGACGAGTCACCCCGGATGACTTGGCTTTGGCCTTTGCCAAAGGAAGCTGAGAAAGCTCCGGAGATCGGCTTGGAGAAGGGTTCAACCGGCGCTTGGATGAATCGTTCATAGACCCTCCATGCTGATAGCCGGATTCGGACACCAGCTCAAACTCTCCATGCTCATATTGAATCAGCTCATTCAGCAGCTCATGCACTGAGCCTTCATCTTTCACCTTAGCCAGCAATTCCTTAACGGCTGCGGACAATTGCGACGACGAACCAGCCATTTGGCCAGGAGGAAACTGCCAACAAAATCTCGAAAGGACCTAGTCGTGACAGGAGCGGCTTTTTGCTCCTTTCAAGCCAGAAAACAGCTGCAGTGCAATCACCCCATAGATTATACGCATCTGTATATTGGCACTATCAAACGAGCTTCACCGGCAAGCTCTAGCAAAAAGGTGAATTAAACACGAAAACCATGCACACTCAATCACTGCTCACAGTGATGCTTCATGACAGGCATTTCCCTCATCTTCGTGAGAGTGGTTGGCACTCTTACCAGATCGAGCGAGTTGAAGCTGTTTACGATGTTCCTTCTCACGTGCTTGATGCTTCAACACAGTTTCTTCGGGGGAGATCTGGTACATGGATCTTTTCATGCATGACCTCAGAAGGTCAACCGGGTCACCATCATTCTTAGTAAGAGCGTCGGCAAGCATGCGATTTGTGGGTACCCATCGAATATGAGCGGACATGGATCTACAGCTTTCACGGATGATCACGACATCGATACTGGTCCGTCTGTCCTCAATTGACGTGGGGGAAGAAGGAGATTGCAAATGATCATACAGGCTTTTACAATCCGTCACAACGATAGGCCTGCGCCTTTTCAGGACGTCTCGGCATGTTCGAACGTCAAGTGGCCCATCAAAAATCTCAGCCAGCAACAACAAGATCCACTCGGTTGTTCCAGTGGCAATAGCCAAAGCTTGACTTTCCGCTGACATGGTGCTGCTCACTGCACGTTGCAATTTGAAGCTTTTCCATGAGGCTGGACACCAAGGGGATTCATGGCCTTCTTGCAAGGACTTATCAGTGAAACCGATGATGTACCCAGCTTGTGTGTGATTTCCTCTATTCGCAAAAGCAGCATCGCTATGACAAACCAACGTCAAGTTCCTGGGCCGGATTGCCTTGAAGGTGATTCCAAGCTTATCATGTTGTTTTGCTCGGCGAACAGCCTGATTTGCCATACGAAAGTCTTCGATCTTCGGCTTGGGAAAGGCTTGCTGTGCAAGACTGGTTTGCACGCACAGATCCGGTCGTGACTGAGACGACAGCCATCCAAGACTTCCATTTACCGCTC